GTCTTAACCCTAACAAACTTGTTTAACAACGATTGATTGATTTATTCCACCAAACGACTTTCACTTATTGTGCACTGTTAGTTTGCCACTTTCTCTTTGATATTTCGTCCGCTTAATAGAATATTAATCAAGATAACGGACAATTTGTAGTGGCGAGCAACAAATCAACAATTCATTAACTCTCTGAGAATCGTAGGTGTCTAAGAATTCATTTAGCAACAGAACCACTTAACTTCACTTTTTTGTCTTTACCAACGATCACAGGAATTTGTGGAAAGTATATTCGACAAGAAAATAGTGAGGTGTATAAAAAAATATCCTGTTGTGCGAACAGAAATGCGAACCAAGCCCGATGAATCTCCCAAACAACACTGGAAAGCAGGGGAAAACCGCTGTAAAAAGTTTAAAGATTGTGAGGCAGCTGTTACTATTCCAGCAGGGAAAGAGAGAGAGAAGCCAGAGAAGACCGGGATGTGGTGGAGAAAGCTTTCTCTGTTTTTACTTTAGCACTGGGCACAAAAATTTTGAGACACTTGTCCACCACAAAAAACAGTTGTATAGTCAGCTGACCTTCATTCCCAGATGGCAGAACCGACTTTCACCCGAATCCTGCGCCACCCGACTCAGCCGGAGAAGGAGCATTTCACTGGAGAAAGGCAGGGAGAGAAAGAGGAGAGCAGCGAGCCGTGGGTGCTGAAAGTGGTTGATGGGGAGGAAATGATTGAATGTGTAGCAACGTTCGAAATTGTATTTGCTTTTTCACATAACAAATCTAAATCAAACTTTCATCCATTCCACCAAATGCAGAGGAGACGAAATGCTATGGTCCTGATAAGTACTTACATGTATGCGCATATAAGTGCATATACATAAATATAATCATGCTGAGACGACCCACGAGTGCAATTATTATATCTTTCATATTCACACTCCCGGATCAACTTTTTGGAGGACGCGAGTGTTGATGGAGAGCGAGAAGTTGTTTTCATTCCATCATCCACGGTGTATTTTCTGCATTGTTTGCTTTTTTCTTCTATTTTTATAGCATAGCTACACTTTATCTATACGATATTCTAAGTTAGCGGAAGCGGTCGGTTGAACGTGCTAAAAAACTACGGCCTTAATATCAAATATGTAGGGCTTTTGATAATCATATTTCATGTGAGATCATCTAATCAACGGATGAGAAAATGGAGGCCTGAATCGGAAACACAAGAATTACAAGATGTAACGATACATTAGGTTGTGAGAATGTCAGCGATATTGTTTTCCAGTATTTTTTAGTTGGGAGATTGCAGAAAAAAATCACTGAGACGGAGAAACATAAACCAATGAAATATTATTCTAAACCGGGTTTTGAGTGAGCATGGGCACTACTTTCTTAACTAACAGAGCGGAGGAAAAGCCGAGAGGGTAAAACTCTTGTCTTGCCAATTCTTTGCGGGTTCTGACTGATTTATACGCAGCATGGAGTTTATGCCCTACGGTTAGCTGCGTTTTAATAGCTCGCAGTTGACTTTTTTGTACCCCAACACTTCCAACATTTAACATTTTATCGCTCCACGCAAAGAAATTCAAGGAGCGGTTTCACTTTTTGCTTTATTTGAATAATGTTTAGACATTAATTCGTATCACAGGTGCACATGAGATAATTAAGATCAAATAAAATAGTCATCAGTCCCTTTATCCTTGCAAACCCCGCGATCAGCCATGCAAATTATTACATTTTCTCTAGAAAGATGAGAACTCCATAATATTCAGCGGATTGAAAGTAACTCAACTATATTATACGACATTACAAATGTTAGCATTAAGTGTTTAGAATCAAGTATGTCAAAATGTCATCGCATTATTCATTGGCATTAAACCAGATATAAATAAATATTCAAAAATATTCAAAAATATTTATGTAGGTTCCAGACTTGTTGTCTAATTTTCCGACTTGGTTGATTAGGATCTCACCATAACGTAACATCAATTTAACGTTAATGTGCAGTCCCACACTCCTCCGTACAGAATGTGGAGTAAATTGGAAATGGAGCCAAGATGAGCCAAGAATCCTCCCAGTCTGGATGCTCAGGAGCCGTCGAAAGTATGCAAAAGTAATAAAACTCTTTCTCTAAATGTTATTGGGCTGTTGATACTTTTATACAATGTGTTGTAATGTGTATTCGTGTAGGTATGCTCTATGGGATGCCACCACAACAAACAACACAGTCCAATTTCATCTCAACTTACATAATCATCCTTAATCCTCCACGGTTCTTGGAAGATAAGTATTCAGTTGTTTTGATTTTTTAAATTTGCGCATAACACTTACTCATGCTTGGTTGAGGAAAAGTTGTTAATTTGATCGTATCTCAGAATAAACTGCATGTGCAACTCCGTACTTGTAAATGCAGTAAAATAGAATTTTGTTTAAACATGGATAAGAAGACGAGCGTTAAATCATGACACAATGGAAAACTCGAAGCAATTTCACACGGCTCCATCTACGCTACCAATGACTCAACTGTCCGTCGGATTCTACGCTATGAAATCATGTTTCGCTTGGTAGGATTATGTACTTTGGGTAAAAAATTAATACATTTTCAATTATACACTTAAGTTGAAATAAAGTTTATATGAAAATTAATTAAGATGGCTGCTCTCTTTATACATATGTGCATTCAGTGCTACAAAGTCGGGAGGGAAAGAAAGTCAACAAATTGTAGACTATGCAGTATGAAAGGATGTAACTGAAAGGGGCGAAGCGGAAAAAATCAGTGTACATTCTCGTCAGTCAATTTTATCACTAATCTCCAAGAGTATTTTGTGTGCTCATTTGATAATTATTTATTTAGCATAAGAAATATTTCACCAATATTACGAGTAACATAAATTTACTCGAATTAATAAGGAATATTTGCACCTAATAAATTAGTGGGTGTATTTGGTCGGATATAAAAATTCTACTACACACTTAATAGTAATTCTGTAGTAAAGTAGAAAACTAATAAATGGTGTGTAACATGTATCGGATCGTTATGAATGACAATGGGACAAATGACCACCAAATTGCATGGACACCCAATCGCGTTCCTCCCAAGTGTAGTGAAACAAGACTAAAATCATCTCTATTAACATCTCACCTACATTTGTCTTCAGTGCTCGTACAAGTCCGCAAACTCGATTTGCAAAGTAATTTGCCAACATTTTTTGCCTAATTTATAATGTAATGGTCCTTGCGTCTTGAAGTTTTATCATGATTCCGGACCACTCATCTCATTCAATTTTATTATGAGAAAAAATTAACAATCAATCATTCACTCACACTACGCCATGCCACCACCATTTGGCTCACATCAAGAACAACCATCTTCTCCTCTTGTACGACTACACATTGTGTTTCAAGGCACGTGAAGGATTTTATTTTATCAATCTTTTCCTGATCCTGGTCACCTACTACTTACTCACCTACCTGTCTGCTCGCAAACCAACTTTTTTGCCATCGAAATATTACAAACGAGAATAATTACCTACGTTTCGTACTCATATTACGCCATTATTATGCTTAGAGTGAAGATACCGCAGAGGCTGGTGCATTTGTAACATTGAGATTATTTTAAAATCACTTTAATATTTTTTTCCCCATGCGGAATTGCCGTTGTGTTTGGTATTCTATCCGTATCACAAACTCATTATATCATGATGTACACATACATATGTACATATGTACAGACAATGATTTCATGCTTGTACACACAGGCGCACATAATGATCACCAGCAAGACTGCATTTGGAAGGAGACCTGTCAAAATATGAAATGAGGAGATAGACACGGTCAAGGTGAGGTGAAAAATTTTGCAACTTTATTACAAATGACGTTGGAGCGGTTATGATAATAATGTAATATTTGTTTACTGTCTGAGTACTAGCTCTCAAGTGATGTATATGCAGCACGCCTTAGAACTTACCGACTTCATGACCACCTTATCCAATATAAGTACGTACGTTATTGAGTGGCACAAATCATTTTCACATTATTAAATCCAGACCATAACCTTGAAAACTAATTGTTTCGTTTATTCGCAAAACCGTAGATTAAAATGCAAAGCAGGTATAATGCTAATTATTACATATTTTCATGTGCACTTATACATGATTAATGCACTGAACTACTTAGTTGTAGCATAATTTATAGTAATAATATTGCAATTAAAAAGACAATTCCATCAACCATTAATCGTATATATTTCCAATCTAAGTTGGTCATTTATCTACTTAGTAATAAATTGTACATAAAAATCGTGATATTTTTTGCACATCAAAAAAGCTAGAAAGATCTTGCGTTTAAAAATCAAATTTTTCGGAGTTCAGAGTGGCAGACAAATTAAGGTGGACTCACAAGTGGTAAATGCCGTGTGAGAAGTCTACTGTAACCCAAGTTGGCACCTGACTTTCATACATAATTAGAATTTCAGACCTGATTAAACGTCCGAACAAAGTACCGCAAATTAATGAGCACTGCATTCAGTTTGGTAAGACTGTTCATCAAATTTTATGCAACTTACTTGGTCACCTTTAAAACTTTATTTCTAAAGATTTAGCTGAATCTTTTGTTTGTCAAGTTATATTGTTGCGTACAGGACATGCTACATGCGAGAAAGTAACACAAGTCGCGACTCATTACCCAAAACGAGTTAAGATTTACAAACGAATAATTTCTTGCACACACAGCGCCTCCGAATGTTTATCAAACTCAAACAAGTAATAAGCATAAGTATTTAAGTAAGTCTATCAAAATGCTCCGTCCTCCTGAAGCTTACAAATGTACATATTCGTCTTCCTCTGTATATTTTACATACATCCCTCGATTCCAAATATGCTGGGAAGGACTCGGGATGCTGAACCAATGTAGCCGTGTAAAGCAGCCGACAGTGTTAAATGTCTAACCTCCTTGGTTTTATAGAACTCCACGGAGGTTTCTGGTTTTGTTCCACAATAATTATGATTATTACAATGTAAGTGAACACATTAGATTACACTCTCGTCCTAACTACACACAGAGACCATCAGACTACTTTGCTTACTGCTACTTTCTTGATGCACATTTCATTTACAATGAATGACAGCTAGAGTACATTAATGTTAATAATTTATTATGTTTTTTTTTTCTCGGTTCCTTCACTAGTTGGTTGGTTGGTTTTGGTTTGGTTTGGTCAGTCAGACATGCTTTTCTCTCTTTATATTATTATCTATAAGATGAAACTTTTATGGTAAATGCACTGCTGAGCAAATGTGGAATTAAAGCACCAGAAAGAAGGGGTACTCTTGAACGAAAAATGTTGCTGTTGGTGTTTAATAACGTCGTCTAGCATAATGTGGAACAAAGTCAGTCGTTGAAGAAGCATGACCTCCTCCGTCTTCTCCTTTCTCAGCTCATTTTCTCCGACAACTATCCATCACAGGCCGCGCACTCAATTACGCCATGTGTATGGAAACTATTACATAAGTCCACCTATTTAGGCACCACACATGCACAAATAAATAGCAACGTCTTGTGTATTCCAAATATACCACAAGCATATCGCTCGAATAGATAAACTTTTTTTTACTACGTTTCATTAATTTCGGTAATAATATTGACAATTAAGTAAAATCTTAAAAAGGATCGAAACAACATTATTTTTACTAAATAAACTTTTGATGTTTCTGTGAATCAATCAGTGATACGGAACAGGATGAAAAAATCGTGAGAATGTGGCTCGAATATGACTTTAAAATATCAAGGCAATGCGAACGGGCCTTCACCATCACAATACAATAAGTCTTCCAAATTCACTACACTCAATTACATTGAAAAAATGAATTGCAATTAATATTGCAAATAAATCAAAATACTTTTATATATTTATATAAATATATCTAAACAAATTATTTCGTCCAGGTCCACTGCCTGGCTGGCTGAGTCGGTAGCGTAAGGTGGACCTTGTGAATTCCTTTAGCATCATCTTCTGACTCAAGACCCATGACCTTTAACTTATCATAATTAAATTCGCATTTAACTTTAGAGAACAATAAAAATTCTCACGTTTCAACATCAATATAATTGGCTTCATAATTTTTGCGCATCACGCATACGTCTAATTGATTTATTACTGTTCGAGCATTTTTCATCCATTGTTATGACTCGACGGGCAATTAAACCATCCCAATGTTGAAACTCAACCACTCAACTTCAATACCTTCAGTCCTATGCCTATAGCGTCAAAAATTGTTGGCATGCCGTTTATCAGATTTGTACAAGTTCTTTAAATAATATTCAGATTGCTAGTAAATACGTGTAGCATGTGGTAATATTAAACCATCTCAGATTCCATAATACTATATCATTACGGTCACTTATTAAGGGAAGAAGATGTATAAAATAAATTGAATCGTCTCATGTGCATAATTTTGTTCTGAAATCTACAGACCGGAATAAAATAAATGATTCAATTAACATTTTCTACTTCATCCTAGTGATTGATAACCAGCTTATTTATTTAGCTACATATGTAAAGAGGTGACAATTGGAGAATGAATTTAGCTCACTTTGGTGGATCATTTATTACAAGTTGCTCACACACTGTGAAAAATGTGACATTGTTACGATTTATATGGGGAAACGGAGATCAAGTAGAAGATCATTAGAGGCATTAACATGGGGCCGAACTGTCAACTAACTGGAGCCAGAAAGCAGGGAAAGAAAACCGAGTTTTGGCTCATTCCATCCCGTTCACAAGGATTTCTAGGAGTTCAACTCTCCCGATGATGGTTTATTTTCCGCTGAGATCATTAATTTTTTGTCCAACGCAAAGTGATTAATTTTGCACGCATATTTGCCTTTCATGTTCTGCATGAGAAACACTTAAGGCTTTTCACAATTTGCGAATTGAGAAGTTATTCAACCTGGTAAACCAAGAAAGTGAGCTAATGCGATATGAGCTGAAAAGATGGCTTATTGCTGGGTCGAATATTTGAAGGGGCTGACGAATAATGAATTGTGGACCTCGAGAGGCATGCATGCATACGTGCATGCATATTACAGCGTGGGAACCCATGTACTTTTGTGTGTAGTCGACAAGAGAGTTGAAGGGAGAAAGAGAGAGAGAGGTAAAAAACGGGAGAGAAATCTGGGAAATTAGTAGCGAGAGACAAGACGAAGAAAGGGGATGTTTGGGAGAAAGTTGGTTGCCCGGTATGTGGGGTGGACGGATGGATGGATGGTGAGAGGAGGGCAGTGGTGGACGGGCAGAGATGTTTCATTGCAACTGACGAAGATAGATGGATAGATTCTGAGGACTCCGCCTAATCTTTGCTCTTTCTCATCTCAACTCTGGCCCAACAGTCTCGGATTGACTTTACTCCTCTTCCTCCTCTGGACGACGACAAGGGCCACGAAGAATGATAGTCCGGCAAACCTTCATCTTATTCACTTTTCACTTGTCCTTTCACCAGCCAACTGACTACCACCAGAAGAAGCACCAGAACCACCACATCATCAGCAGTCCACACTACTCCCACACAGACCTTCTCATCTTCCTCCTCCTCGACTGCCTCCCGTACTTACAACCAAACACCAGCATCACATCATTTCAAGCAGAATTGCATGTCTATCTTCACCACCAACAACGATGTCGTCGTTCTGGAGGTGCAAGTGTCAGCATCGAGGATGATGATGATTCCGCACGAAAAGATAACCTTGTTTCTGATGAGATGGTGATGATCGCAAAATTCATAAGACGTAAGTATGTGGATCAATCAAATCTCAGAAGAAGAAGAGCATGCCCCCTCTATTTTTTGCTCCATTTTGCCATAATCATCTCCCATTTTAAATTAAATTCAAAAGCTAGAAAAAGTAAGCGTTCCGGAAATGTACTCATCTACATTGACTCGTTTTATAAGCTTATCTGCAATAACTTCACCTACTTTTGTGCACGTGGTTGAGCTGAGACAGCCTTTTTCTCTGACTTTTGAACGTCTCATTTTCTTCACAATTTGGTATTCAACTTGTGTGGAATAATGCACACACAATGGGGTTTGCCCCTCGTGGTATAAGTTCACCCCATGTTTGCCAATGCACGTACGTAAGTACATGTACATACACCGAGCGAGATACCCAAAGACACGGGCTGTTGGAGAAGGAAGAAGTTGTCAACTGAATAGATGGTAAAATTGGACAAGTGCCAATTCTGGCTGCAATAATGCCGTCTTCTCAAATGGGATAGAAATCGCAGAGCAGCGGTGGTCCTTGCATAAATGTTGCTGTTCACTTACTACATACGTACGTTCAGAACATTCATGGACCGAGAAGAGCCAGTCGTTTTCCACAGCTACCAATAAAGCATGCAGTAGAATCAGGAGTGAATTAATTGAGAATAAGCCAATATTCTCTTGGATTGACTCACGACAGTCTGTCAATCCAATCTCGAGTGTGGGATGTAGCACTTTTGATTGATTAACTTCAAACCTCTCGAACACACAGTAAATGGAGCACGCTCTAATAGGATGCAATAAAATATATAAAAATAGAAATTCTCAAAAAGCTCGAAATTTGAGGAGATTTGCCCCAAACCATTTTGTTTTTAAAGAAGCAAAATTAATATATTTTGAAATAGGTGGAAGAACACAAGGAGGGGAAAATCATCAGAGATTTAATGACAACATGGCATGTCAAAACGACATCATGGTTTGAGTCTCACGAGGGTTCTCAAGGCTAGAAAACGAATTGCGGTGCAGTGTTTGCCTGATTCTATCAGATTCATTAATAATAATACTTACTTCACATCGAGCATATATCTCATGTTAAGCTAATAATGGATTTTGAGTTGTTTAAAACAAAGGTTGTACATATGTGCATACAATGCAATTATAGATAAGTATGTGCAAATACATATGTATTTCCCAGATCAATATATATTGAAATTATGTAACAAAAATTACATTTATTTATAAATAATAAATTTTGCCCTAGTTTTCCAACTGCGGTGATGATGAGCAAATAAAAAATACACTAAATTGCACTTCCTAATCCCATAAGTGTTTTACCAAATCCGGACAAACTGTCCAATTCAATGCACTCCCTTCCTGACGATTGCTTGGCTCATGTAGCTAATTTTTTTACGACCATCCATCCAAGTGGGTAGTTTTTACTAGTTCCGTCTCAAAACAAATATCTCGCACAAAGGCTATGGCCAACCCAACCCAACCAAGTGTAAGGAAGAAACACGATGAAAGAATCGAATAAATAAAATAAAAAACCGGAATAAGATGCACCATCACTATCCAAAAACCTCCAGTACAGCGTGCTTGGCAGAGCCCGAGCCAGAATTTAATCACACATATGGTACATACTCCAGAATCTCAACATCGTGGTTGCCCTTCGTTTAGACCTTTCCATGAAAAAAAATTTGCATTGCAATTTGCAAATACAGTGTCATACTTTCTGGGAACCAATAGTTTGCATCATAGATAATTTTACCTAAATAATTTATACGTGTAAGTGTCACCTCCTAGAACAGTCTCAAGCAATCCAAGCTTTAAAAAAGTCGAAACTTGATTTAAGGTTCTCATTGGTAAATTTCTGGAAATTTACTATAGGAGAAAGTTGAAGAGAGTTATTGTGCCGACGGACAGACAGCCAGACCGACACGTCTGTTGTATAAGCCCTAGTTCGAGATAAAAACCGAGAAACCCAAGGAATCTCATGCACCCCTGATCCAATTCACTGTCAACACAATGAATGCAATGCGATGAAACAAATGCAACAAAGCAAATAATTTCTTCTTCGCATTCTGAAAGATTGAGTGTCTCCTTAGCTAATCCACATGGACAGGAACTGCAATGATTTCTTCTACACCACTAAACACGCTTGTCGTCGTCTGTGCATCCTGTCATATGTACATGCACACACATGCCAAGTGAATATAATATTATTATTATTATGCCCCCACCACTTTGCTTCTTCGATCTTTCCATTTTTCTATTTTTTCCCCATGAAGTGCAACTGTCTTGCAATGTGGGGCATTGTGAGGCAGTTCGCGCTATATGAGAAACATATAGTATGTTGTTCCTAATTCTTATGGAGAATGTCGGGCGCTCGTATGGCGAAACGTTTTGACCTACAGGTTTCAACTAAGCGGCGTTGGATACATCTCACCGAGCTTTAAAATGACATTTCTCAGAATTACAGTATCTCGAACCATACCAAAGATATCAACGTTAATACGTTTTTTCGCGCCAAAAATCTTAAAAGCTACCCCAAATGGGTTGGGTGCATGATAGAGACATACATGCAATTACAAATATGTCCAGAAGTACTTCAGCTACAACGTTAGTTTGAAACTTTTTTTTGATTAAGGCTTCAGTTTGGAGCAAAGTTCGAATTTGTGTGATTTTTCGTGATTAAAAGTGTCAATTTGTTCGCGGACCTACAGCCAAAGCGTTACGTTTTAGAGACTTGGACCTTAAGAAAATTATGTAGGAGAGGGTCCAACTTATGACCCTCAGAGGACATACTTTTTTGAATTCGGTCATGGTTTCTGAGTTATGGCGCGATTTTTTAAACGGTTTGAAATTTTAATTTTTCATAAGGTTACGTGTACTACCTTAGATGGTATAATCTAATATGGATAGGATCATGAGTGTTGTGCAAAAATTTATGCTTCACAATTTTATATGTGAGATATACATGAATTCTGGACCATTTCTAAACCATGAAAGTCAAAAGTGAACATGACCATTATATGTACTATATTAATAAAGACATACATACATACATACATATGTACTATATTAATTGTATTTCCTTTATCTTTACTTCTAAGTTACTTTATACTAATTGATTATAT